AAATACAGTGTATTTTGAAGTCTCAATTTGAGGGCTTTAACAGGCTAAACAGTGTACCTACGGACTCTAGGGTTAGAAAAATTTTAATTCTACCTTATTGGGATATACGATTATAGTTAGTTTTCCTTTGTGTTTTAGATATTGAACAGGTTCGCATGCAAGAGCCTGATTTAGCTTAGAACCTATATCAGATTAAATGGATGAAGTATTTTTTTTTTCACACTTTTCTGTTGTTTATTGGGTGTTTGTTGTTCATCAGGTTGTTTTCTGCAGTGGTATTAGGCTTGATGTATGAAGCAATATTGCCTTTTATGTTTGTGTCCTTGTTTCTTACTCACTGTGTTGTTTAAAGCATAATTAATCCTTTTATTTTTTTTTAAAACTACGAGAGCGTTTTATACAGGTATGTGTATATATCATGATGAGATGGAGGATATGTGGCAGCGTCATATATATAGCTGCGGTTTTGAAGACAAAGCACCACGTCAATCATTATTAAAGATATGCTTCAAGCTAAAATCATTGAACCTTTAATAATATCTAGCCTTTGTGCTGTGGAAATTATATTTAAAACTTTAAATTTTGAGTCATTTACCCTTAATTTATTGTGAAAGTGATCACAATTCTAATTCAAGTAGAAAAGATATTTTGTTGGCCAAAAATGGTGCAGAGTAGTTTTGTGTGGAAATTATATTAAATTTATTATGTATTTTCATATAATTATACTTTTACTATTTGAAACCTCTCTACTCAGAATTAAAAGAAGTCATGCAGAAATTAGTCATCTACAGTATCAACTTGTGCATGGAGTTATGTACAGCAGCTAGGCAGGCATATTTTCTATCCCAAGTTTTTTTTTTTACTTAATCAGCCTAATACTCACAAATTTATTAGAAACATTTTGTGCAAAATAATAAGAGTTTTGAAACTCTACTTCTTGCTTTGACTTTGCAAAATGATTATATTCTGTGAACTTGAGAGATTTAAGCATCCATATTGAAGGAATGTAAAATTCATTGATGGATTATTTCCCTTGATACACAGTAATGTTTTGCAATCGAATCATGATTGGACTAGGGGAAAATAGTAATTAAGACCTTGATCATCTCGTACTATTTTCTTGAGTTTCTTAAACTCATCAAAATTTTTATCAACAGTACCACTCAGCTTATGATTGAAGAAGATATAAATGTCACTAGAGTATAGGATGCATTTTTCTTTGAAAGAAAATTGTAAAATCAAAATGAAGGGAGAATTACAATAAGATCTCAAAGAAAGAAAATAATTACCAGTAAATCCTAATGACAAGTGAATAGTAGTCATTTACTATCTTAGAGCATGTCATTACAAGGCTGCTCATGTTGTCACTGAGACTTTTTAGTGATTATATTCTTTGCTTGAGACTCATAATAATTCTTCCTAAAAGGAAAATAAAAAAAGACAAGGGATTCTTAACACAGCATTTGTAGGAGGGTCACATTCACACGCTATGCAACAATAAATTCTTACTGGAAGAAATTCTTCCCTGTTTTAATCAGTACTCCCTTGTGTTCTTATTATAACATTTAAATAATTAATTTTCATGTATCAAAAAATTAATTAAAAGTAACAAATAGCTAAAAAAATATATTTTGTTTGCTCTTATAATAAAGGAGAAAAAAAGATGAAAGAGAATATATGAAAAAATATCATAAAGAGGGAGTGACAAAGGAGGAGAATAAATTCATTAAAGGCAAAATGGAAAAAAAATGTATTAAATGGAGAAAAAGTTTTGCCTTCCTTCTTCGGACAGCCAAATCTAATTCATTTATCATATTTCAAACATCAATACTTACAGAAACAATTAAAGAAGAAGAAAAAGAGGGCTCACCTACGAACAAAACAGAGATGCGGCGGAACAGAGGAAAGCGCACAGAGCAATGCCAAATTCAAATGAATCACTAAGAAGCAGCAAGGAAAGAAGAAACAAGAGGCGAACTGCTCACCTCACACCATCAAGGTGACGGACGGCAATGGCAGGAGGAGAAAAATGACGATGATTTCTCAAGAATAGTAAGCAAAGAAGAGGCCGACGGCGGAAGGAGAACGGCGCAACCACCGCGGCAGTGAATATAAGGAGGATGGAGGTTGACAGGAACTGCGGCTGAGATCCCCTTTTTCTAATTCTCCATAGGTTGCTTCTCTCTTTTCTCCACTCCCTTTAGCGTAACAAGCCGAGAAAAATATCATGAAAACATATATATACACGCACAAAAGGACTATGGTGATTGCAAAGTGTGTGTGTGTGTGTAAAGAATTAAAATGATAAAAGTTTGTCTCATACATCGGTAGGATTCACAACAAACAATAAACAATGTTTGTCCTAGACTACCAATCGATCTTATTAAAAATTTACAACACATGATCAAAATATTAAATAATTAATACCTCCGATTTTTAATATGAGAGCTAGATAACTAATTTAAAGAGATTAAGAAAATTAATTAAGTTGGTTAATTGTAAGAAACATGTGCTGACTTTCCTAAATTATTCTTTTTAATCATGTTCACGGGAGCTATCATTTGATAGAAATGACGCCTTATGATCAATAAGGATCTTTTAGAACAAAAATAATAAATTTGAGAGACAAAGTAATTGAGGTCTTACATATAGGATCAAATTCTAACTCTTATATTAAGAACCATAGGCAGTATTTTACATTACTTTTAAGGCCATTACAGGATTTTTGCCATCTTTGAACATTTCTACACACACAAGGCCATTCGCACTTGCTACAACAAAACAAGAACAGTGAATATGCATAATAGATAGTTGACCTACGGCAATTGGATCGTATATATATTAATACTTCCTCCTGAATCCTTTCTATAGTCCTTAATACATAAAAATGACGTAACAACCTTCTTCATAGATTATACTCCTCCGGTCCTAATTATAAGACCCAATTGACTTATTTGAGGAAATTAAGGAAGTAAGTTAAGTTGGTTATTTTAATAAATAAGTTTGTTATTCCTAAAATAATCTTGCTAATTAAGTATATTGGCTAAAACTATCATTATTAGAAGGATTATCTTGGAAAAAATGCATAAATATAAAAGAGAAAATGGATTGGGTCTTATAATTAGGACCAAATAAAAAGTCAAATTGGGTCTTTAATAAGGACTGGGGGAGTATTAAATAATGTATCAGGAAAATTTTAAATATCCATCAAGCATTTTAAATATTAATATTATAAATTTTAATCTAAAGCAGAAGGGTTGATCTACGTACCTTGGAAGTATAGACTCATCTTCTTCAACAACGGACTGATCATGATGTCTGGAGCATTGAGTATAACCTCCATATTTCTCAACGTCGGTTCGTGTAACATCAGTTGCCTGCAATATTTCCATCATTGTCTCAGGGCCCAGGATTTGCAGACCCATTGCCCCATTAAGTGCTCTTATAGCAAGTAAATAAGCAATGCCATTGCCATCCCTGTGAAAGACCTGGATATCCACAAACCAATCCCACTCTAACATCCCTTTGATTTCCATGATGAGAGCAATATCCTTGTGCGTCTCAGGGACTTCAAATTTGATCAATCGAACAGCCTCAGCGGAGTCGCTTCTCAAGATAACATCTCCAATACCAGCGTCCCAAGCACTTTTGAGACCCATCAAGCAACCCCATAGTTTGGCTGTGAGGGTATCTCCGCCGCTTAATTTCAGAAGAAAAGCCTCCTTCGTACAATTGTTGCCATCTTTAAGAATGCCTCCACAAGCTGCTTTGTCATCTGAATGAGAATAGGCGCCATCCACCACTTCTACAATACAATCATCAGGTCTCGGCCGGGGACTATAACCTCCACTGTCGATGTCTGGATCAATCTTCACGTAGTTATTGATGATACTACAACCTTCGTCCCCTGTCCTTCGCCATGCTTCAACATCTTCTTTACACACCGCTCGCCACCCACACTTGCTTATTTTCATCCTTGGTGACTTATTTTCCATTGCATTCTTAGAGAAACATACCATTTGAAGTCCATTGACAACCAAAGAGGAATAAGGAATATATATTATATAACCATGCCAACAATGCGAGTTTGGAAATTCATCATTAGGAAATCTGCAACTCCAACAAATTGCATCCCACCCCTCTCCAAATGTGAGATCGTGTTCTTTGACTAAGCATATGGCTATGCCCCACCATTCACGTGAACCACAATAATCAGGGGATATATTTATTATGAACGACACATTATTTGGACACCACCAAAATTCTTTCTCGCAAAAGTAGTTTTGATTATAAAACCATGATGGTACTCTGCTGCCTGGAATTGTTAATGCGTGCCAACGTGGACGGACGGAAAAAAACTGGGGCAAAAAAAGCAAAAAAAAAAAAAAAACAGATTGTTTGTATCAGAAGTATGTTGATTAACACGTAAGAAATGGCAATATATACGTACAAGTAAAATAAACTATATATTTATTGTCAAAGAAATTAAGAAAAAAACAGGTGATTCTAAAAACTCTCAATTTCTGAATCCCCTCTTATAATTGCTGACTTCATATTTAAATGGTTGTGAACCTATAAGAAACAATTTTGCGTGTTAAAGAAGTAAAATGATAGAGGTGAAAGAACAATTAAAGACAAATAAAATAAACTTGAGGTTGAAATGATTCAATGAAATCCCATAATTGATCTGCACATTCGTAATGTTTTAGTGTTGAACAACCTTCAGTCCCTATAAGTAATAGATTTGACGGAAGTTGCGGCAAAGACCGAAGCCTTGGGCAACTCCAGAGAGCAATATCTTTAAGCTCCGAAAGACTGGAAATGAGGCCAGATGGTAAGTCAATGAAATCGTTTCCACTTAGATCTAAAATTTCCAATGATGATAACATGCTGATGTCATCAGGAAGTGATCCATCATGGAGATTGCAAAAACTTAAGTTTCATCCTTTCAAGGACGACAAAGACGGCGGCAACAAAAACTTTTTGGAGCTTGAAGGCCTTTAAAGAAGGGATAAGCAACTCCATGTTGATGAAGATTGTGCTTCACCATTGTAGCCACTAAATGATAACTCTTTTATAGCAATTCCACTCAAATCCAGCTCTTTCAAGGCTTCATTTTCATTCAAATTCTCTGGCAGGCCTGAAAGGTTTGAGCAATTAGAAAGTTTGGTAATTTTGAGAGCTTTCAACTTACCAACACTACATGGAAGACAGACCAGCTTTTTGCAGTTTGTCAAATTTAATTCAACGAGACCAATCAAATTGCCCAGTGATTGAGGTAGCTTGGCTAGAGCAGTCTTCTCTAAATCAAGCTTCGATAGACATGCCATATCTTTTCCAAACTCAGGAAGTTTTCTAACTTTTGAACAACCTGATAGAATAAAAGTCTCCAAGCTATTCATCTCAAATTTTTCTGGAAGCGTTTTAACTTCTTTGCAATCTTTCAAGTCAACAGTGACAAGTTTCTTGTGTTGCCCAAGAGACTGGTGAATTTTAACCAAGTTAGAACACCCTTGAAGAATCAACTTTTCAAGATGAGGAATTCCATCAAAATTTGGGGTTTTGATGAGGTATTCTGAATGAGATAGATCAATGGACTTCAAGCTTCAAAGAGACTAACAATAAGGGAAAAAAGAAAAAGAAAGAATAGATCACAAACTAGAGACTAATTATAATTATAATTTATTAAATTATGGACAAACAATTTAAATAAAAGGACTTTAAGTACCTGTGTTCCTCTCCAAAGTTCTTTTAACTTGCTATGCTGCATTTTTAGCACAACAAGCTGATTGAGTTGAGGTTGACTTGGCAAATAAAATAATGGATACCCCTCTCATTCTATGACTTTCAACTCTTTGGAAAGAGACTTGAGTCCAAGCCGAAGATTCAATTGGCAATGTGAAACGTGTGAGCGACTTGAAATGATAAGTAACTTGAGATTACTCAGTTTTGAGAAGGCTTCAGGATCCCAAAATGCATCACATGACTTTTTTAACGTTAGCATTATTCCCCGGGTTACTTTTGTCCCCTATAAAACAACAAGTCAAGGTAAAAATATATAAAATTCATGCAATAAATTATTATAAGAGTGCACAAACACAAGAACTTTCAAATGTCACCTTATTTCCTCCTAATACATGATTGGCATCATCCAAGGACAATATCCTAGAAAGCTTGCTGGCATCACCAGATGATTCTTGATGGACAACATGTTTAGCCATATTTTGTAGAATTTCATGCACCCACAAACGCCCTTTATAATTAATTACTAGTGATTTGTCAATAAGAAGCCTTATTCCAATTTTTGGGTGAAGATCCTTATCCAATGTTTCTAAAATTTGTATGATATGATCTTCGTCCATCCCATTGAAAAAGCAAGCAATATCCAAGAATATAGTCTTCTCATTAAGCTCTAATCCGTGAAGACTCACTTCAAGTATCTTGGAAATGTCCTCTGGAAGACCTTTCTCGAACTTAGCTAGTGCATCTTCCCATTCCTCTATCGTTCTTTTGCAAAGAAATGAACCTAACACTTCGAGTGCTAAAGGAAGGCCTCCAGTATATTCAATGACGGTTCTAGCAAGGTTCAAATAATCTTCATTAGGTTGCCCTTCTTTAAAAGCATTTTGAATGAAAAGTTTAAGGGACTCGCTATCACTCAAGAGTTCAATGTGATATATAGCACTATCAGATACACGATATGATGATAGCAAATGCTTATCCCTTGTTGTTATCACTATTATGCTCCCTTTGCTGAACCATCCTTGCCTTGGAGCCAGCTTCTCAAGTTGGCTAACATGACTCACATCATCAAGGACAAGTAGAATTTCTCTGTCGGTTAACTTCCTTTTTATTAACTCCATTGCTTCATAAAAATCAGCCACTTCTATACTCCTTTTGTACAAAGATAAAAGAAGTTTTCTTTGCAACGAAATCAAACCATGTTTTTCACATGTCTCTCTAATATTATCAAGGAAGCAGTGAATCTCAAAGTTTTTGCTCTTTCGCTTTTGCTCTCGCTCATAAAAGGCTCTAGCAAGAGTTGTTTTGCCTACGCCTCCTGCACCCCATATTCCTATAAACCCAACTTCTTCTGATTCCCTTGCTATGATTGAATTCAGTTCATCTAATTTTGGTTCAATTCCAATTAACTTGCCAAGATCAGATGCTGATTTATCAAGTAACTTTGACCCGATTTCATCAGCAATGCTTTCAATGAATTCTGTTTCATACCTGCATATGAAAATAAAATTATAAAGTGTAAATTTTTTTGCATAAACAATCCCAAAAAAAAAAACTAGGTAATGTGAGATGTGAAGAAAACATGACCACAAATTTAGCAGTTTCAAGTTTACCATGAAACTTAGTTTAAATTAGTAGGGAACAGGCGATAATTTCATTTATAGAAGAGTTGTACATTGCCTCTAGTATTTACAGACACAGACGATTATGTTTATTTGTCCACACATTAATAACTCCTAGATATTCAAATCATTTAATTAACACATCATAGTTTGAGTTCCTCTTTTTTGGTAATCCGTTTTATTTATATTTGAGTATTTTTTTCCTTAATTTTATTTAAGCAACTTTTCACAGAACACATTGTCAGATTAAAAGTTCAAATTTAACGCCATTAACGTTTTCGACCGTCAAAAACATAATAATTATTGTGTTGTAATTTTACTATATATTGTATGTATGTGTTTATATATATATATATATATATATTCAAGAAAATGACCATTTCAGAATTCCATCATTAATTGAGTTTAATTGCAAAACCTAAATCATTTACGACCAATAAAGTACTACAGTTGTACTAGAAATTTATTTCACTAAGAAGTATAAACACAGGTCTACAATTAAATAAAGGCCAAAATATAAATAACTCCTCTCAATTTTAATTCTCTTACATACAACATCTCTTACCTTTGCAAGTTTAAAAATCATGCCCTCAACTTTCATTGTCTGACATTTAACCCTTTACCATTAAAAAGACGGTTAAATCTCATAGAATAGATGTGCATATAATTTTATTATTTTACTAATTTATCCTAATTTTAAACTCATAATTACACTAAAGAACATTTTTGTAATTCTACTAATAATTATTCCTAATTCTACTCTCGCCTAATCATTTTGCTCTTTCGGGCATTCCCACCTTGTCTTGGTTTAGCTGGCTAGCAAGGTTCTGAAATTCTAGGACATGAAAGAAAACTCAATTGAGAATTGATTAATCCTACACATCGCCTTATTCGCTCTCCTTCGCGGGTTTGTTTGGTTGGAGGGGAGGGGAGGAAAATGTCCCCTCCCCCTCATCCTCCTTTCCATTTTAGCTCCCCCTCAAATTGGGAGTTTTTAGAGGGGAGTTAAATTTTTGGGTCATTGTATCCTTATAGTTTTTTTAATATTCCACGACTACTCATAAAATATATTCGTATAATATTTATTTCAAATAAAAAATATATTATCCTAAGTAAAAAATAAAAAATATAAATTATTATAAATAAAAATATATTATTACAAAAATTAATTAAAAATAAAAAATTATTTAAATAAGAAATTATAAAATTAATTGTTTTTTATAAATATATTATTTATTAAATATATTTTAAAACTAAAAAAGGATAGCCAAAGAGAATAAAATTTCATTTTTCTTAGAGCATATAAAATTTGTTAATTTGATTATTTCAAATATATTATTATATTAATTAGAATAAAAAATTACTGTACCAATTTTTAATACATATATTAACATGATAAGACTGAGTTTTCATTAAATTATATAATTTAAAGTAAAATGTAAATTAATTTGTATAATATTAATATATCAATAAAAAATATAAACTAATATGTAAGGGTAAAATGGTAAATTGATTATTACTATCCCTCCCATCTCCTCTCCTCCTTGAACCAAACAAGGGATTAATTAAATATCCTTTCCTCTCTTCTTTTTTAATCAAATCAAACAAGGTGAGCATAAAACCTCCCCTCCCTTTCCCTATCCCACCGTCCCCTCAAACCAAATAGGTCCTAAGCGAGCAAACTGATTTTGAAGACTCTAAGGGTCTATTTGGCTCAATAAAAAGAAGATAAGGGAGGAATTTTAATGGAATGAAGGGGAGGGAAGTAAAGTGGAAGGATTTCAATATGAGCTTGTTTGGATTTATAAAAAAAAGAGGTGAGGGGGGAGTTTTAATATTACCTTGTTTGGTTTATGATGGGAGGGGAGGGAAAAATATTTTAACATGGACAATTTTGACCTTATTTCATTTAAGATATGAGCATAATAGTTACAATATGGCAAAATATAGATATAATAGTCACAACATGGTAAAATATTACCTTTTTCCTCTAAATCCTCCCAATCTTGGAGGAGAGGTTGAAAAGGGGGGAGGAGAAATTTTTTTTTAAAATTTTCCCCCCTCCTAAAATTTGTGTGTTGCTGAACAAAAAAAAAATGATTAAAATCCTTCCCCTTCCCTTCCTTTCCTCCCAAATCCCTCATACCAAACACACCCTAATTAAAAATTAATCTCAAGTGCCAAAACGCAGCTTCTGGGATATGGAGTATTTGCATTTGGGAAGCCAATGACATTAGGTGATGCATTTCTCATATAAAATTAAAGAATCTAGATTGATATTAACAGACTCTAAACAAGCAAGCTTGAATGATGGATTTTTTTTTATATATACAAAATGACAAAAAGATGAATAAAGACGTTGCAAAATGGGAGGACTTGCTAGCGAGGGTAGGCTAAAAGAACCACACGATTGGGTGAGATTGGGACTAGAGTTATTATTGGCAGAATTCCATAATATTTCTTGATGTAATTATGAGTTTTAAATTTAAATAAATTAGTAAAAATTGCATGTCATCTACTAAATATTTTTAGGGGTTAAATATCAAACAATAAAAATTAAGGATACTTATTTATATTTTGGATTTAAATAAAAAGATAAAAACGTTAATCACCCGTCTGTTTTTGTCCCAAACGTCGGCAGTAAAAAGAACACAACCGAAGAAATGAAAGAAAGATGAAGATAAAAAAAGATGAAGAACTGAGAAGGAAAAAAAAAACAGAGAGAGGAAAAACCATTCGGACCCTTGGCCTCGTCATCTTATTGAGCCGTTCTTCTTTCTGGGTAAACGCCGAGTCCCTCGCACATTCCTTCGACTTTCTAAAATGTAAAACCAGGTTGCAAGAGCACGAGGTTTTCGATTTAGGGGTAAAAATATTTTTATAATGTATAAAATAAAAATATATAAAAAAATTTATCTCGTTTTACTTAAAAAAAATAGCTTTTTCAAAAACACCTTTTCGCTGCAACTTGGAATTTGGAACTGAAAGGGCTGTGCTAAGGAAGAGGAGTGTTTGTATCGCCGCCCTTCATTTCAAACGGATGGTCACGATTTATTGCCTTTTTATTGAAAGAAGTCGATTCAACAGTCATATGTCACATCCTTCTCTCCCACTTTTGTATATGAAATCATTTTTGCTTTCCAGGTCCTAAGTCATTTGGAAATTGAAAGCGAAAATGACAGAAAAATACACCTTTAACTTTAGAAGTCCAAAAACGTTCGTTAAATTCAAGAAATCCTATTTTGGTACCATGAGACTAAATTGGGATTATTGTATGAAAGAAAAAGGCCAAATTGTCCTTTATTTTAAATATTATTTTTAAAATATCACAGCCCCTATTGGCCGGCCGGTCACCAGACCTCCAGCAGTGGCGGTCACCGGAGCTCCGACGACCAACCGACAATTGGTCAACCGAGCTCCGTCGATCAGAATTTTTTTTTTTGGAAAATTTTTACAACTTCAATATAACGGTTAACAACTTTTGTAATGCTATTAACAACTTCAGTATAGCAATTAACAACAGCTTTTTTGGGAAATTCAACAAATTCCGGCGACTGGAAACAATTTTTTTGAAAATTTTTACAACTTCAATATAACTGTTAACAATTTTTGTAACGCCATTAACAACTTCAATATAGCAATTAACAATAGATTTTCTGGGAAATTCAACAAACTCTGGCGACCGGAAACAATTTTTTGAAAATTTTACAACTTCAATATAACGGTTAACAACTTTTATAATGCTATTAACAACTTCAGTATAGCAATTAAAAACAGCTTTTCTGGGAAATTCAACAAACTCCGGCGACCGAAAACAATTTTTTTGAAAATTTTTACAATTTCAGTATAACAGTTAACAACTTTTATAACCCTATTAACAACTTCAGTATAGCGGTTAACAACAGGTTTTTGAGTTATATAATTTTTCAAAAAAATCTGTTGTTAACTGATATACTAAAATTGTTAATAGCGTTACAAAAGTTGTTAACCGTTATACTGAAGTTGTAAAAATTTTCAAAAAAAAAATTATTTCCAGTTACTGGAACTTGTTGAATTTGTTGTTAATTGCTATATTGAAGTTGTTAACAGAATCATAAAAGTTGTTAACCATTATACTGAAGTTGTAAAAATTTTCAACTTCAGTATAACATTAACAATTACGTTTTGTTGAAAATTTTTACAACTCTAATGTAACGATTAACAACTTTGATATAGCAGTTAACAACAAGTTTTTAAATTCAAAAAGTGACATTTTTATAACTTCAGTAATGCCTTTAACAAACTTAAAAACCTGTTGTTAACCGCTATACTGAAGTTGTTAATAGGGTTACAAAAGTTGTTGACCGCTATATTGAAGTTGTAAAAATTTTCAAAAAAATTATTTCCGGTCACCGGAGTTTGTTGAATTTCCCAGAAAACTTGTTGTTAATTGTTATATTGAAGTTGTTAATAACATTATAAAAGTTGTTAACCGTTATATTGAAGTTGTAAAAATTTTCAACTTCAGTATAACGTTAACAATTACGTTTTTTTGAAAATTTTTACAACTCCAATATAACGATTAACAACTTTGATATAGTAGTTAACAACAAGTTTTTTGAAAAATTAAAAAAGTGGCTTTTTTATAACTTCAGTAATGCCTTTAACAAACTCAAAAACCTGTTGTTAACATACTGAAGTTGTTAATAGGGTTACAAAAGTTGTTAACTATTATATTGAAGTTGTAAAAATTTTCAAAAAAAATTGTTTCCGGTCGCCGTAGTTTGTTGAATTTCCCAGAAAAGCTATTGTTAATTACTATACTGAAGTTGTTAATAGCAGTACAAAAGTTGTTAACCGTTATATTGAAGTTGTAAAAATTTTCAAAAAAATTGTTTCCGGTCACCGGAGTTTATTGAATTTCCCAAAAAACCTGTTGTTAATTGCTATATTGAAGTTATTAATGGTATTACAAAAGTTGTTAACGGTTATATTGAAATTGTAAAAATTTTCAAAAAAATTGTTTCCGGTCGCCGGAGTTTGTTGAATTTCCCAGAAAAGCTGTTGTTAATTGCTATACTGAAGTTGTTAATAGCATTACAAAAGTTGTTAACCGTTATATTGAAGTTGTAAAAATTTTCAAAAAAAAAAAATTCCGACCGACGGAACTCTGGTGAGCAATTGTCGGTTGGTCACCGGAACTTCGGTGACCGGCCGGCTAGTAAGGGCTGTGATATTTTAAAAATAATATTTAAAATGAAGGGCAATTTGGTCTTTTCCTTTCACATAATAATCCCAATTTGGTCTCATGGTACCAAAATGAGATTTCTTGAATTCAGCAAACGTTTTTGGGCTTCTGAAGTTAAAGGTGCATTTTTCTGTCTTTTTCCCAAATTGAAAACTCATATTATTATTATGTAATATACTTTGTTGGCGCCCAGTGGAGAAGCAGGGGAAAGATTTGTTTTTTTTTCACCCCTAATATAAAGTTATGCAAATTATATAGAGAAAAAGACAACCCAAAAAAAAAAGTTGATTTGATGTTGTGTAGATATAGTTAAATGATAAATTGTCCTTATATCAAAACGTTTATTAACAAATTGTGAATTGGTAATAATAAGTATTAAATAACAAATGAGAAAAAATATACTGATAATAACAAGTTATTTATTAATAAGTTGAAAATTAATAATGATAAATATTGAATAACCAATAACAAGAAATATACTGACAACGACAAATTTGATTTTTTTTTGTAAAAAATCTGATACAAGAACATTTTAATTAGTTGCTATATTTGTAAAATATCAGATCATGCATCATTTTTTTTCTTGAGATTTTAAACTTTTAGATGAAAATACTACAATTTCTAACTTCTTTTTTTTGTTATTTTCCCAACTATATAATTGTTTATTTATTCTTTTAATTGTTAATGTGTGTTTTACTGCTAATATTAATTGTTTTTTATTTTTTAGATAGAGTTCAATTGGAAACATATTACATCTTTTATTTAAATATTATTTTTATCACTAAATCTTGATATTTATGTAGATTTTAATCCAATTACGAAAGTTTCATGGGGAGCGTTTAAGTTTCAGGTTCGATTTGTTCCTTGTGAGCGTTAGGTTAGTGAGTGGAGAATTGTCTGAGCTTCAACAGGTTATACTTTAACATTAGCTTTGCAAAAGGCGACCGGAAAAAATGGTTTCCCCTACCACTTATATATCCCAGCTGAGCCTAAATCCGAACCACTGACCTTTTAATCACTGTCTTAACAGACTTATTGACCGTTCTACTTTTTAATACCTTGGTTTTACCTCAATTACTTACATAAACATCATTTATATTTTGAAAACATAAATAAAACTTGCTCAAAATTGTAATGCATCTTATACATTATTTTTATCCCGTCAATTGTTAATTAACCATTAAATTTAACTTTTAAACTTTTGTTTTACCCAAAAATACCTCTATTTGACATAAAAAAATATTCAAATATTTATATTTGTCAAAAACATAATTTTTCATATAATCGAAAATAATGTTAATTCATATATTTTCAAACTTTCTAAATTGTTATAAAATTTATTAATTATTAATTTTGATTATTTAACGAAATTGTATAATTTTATCTTTTTCATTGCATGTATTGAAATATACTTATTTACGTTTTAAGAGATTATATAAATAAAATAAATTTGTAAGTTAAAATTTTTAAACATATTTTTGTAATAAACATCTATAAATTTAAAAATATATTTGTTGGGCTGAATTTATAAACGCATTTAGTCAAATATATATTTATTAAAAAAAGTACTCTAATTCATAATTTTTGTATATATATGTTAATTAAATTACTTCAGCTTTTATCCCATTATGATAAAAACATTAAAAAAATAATTATTTGTAAGAAAAAATTAATGGGAAAAAAAGAAAACACTTAAATTTTTCAAAATAATTTTAATCAAAACTAGAAATTCAGTATAAAAGTTAAATTGGAAAATAAATATTATCTAAGTACAAATTTTAATTAAAAATATCTTTTAAAAATATTTTTAATAAAATTAAGAATTTAAACTTAAATATATGTTTTCAAAATAGATAAACTGATAAAAAGTCCATATAATTAAGATAAAATAAATTAAAATATTTTATTTTTAAGCAAATCATATTTATAATATTTTTCAGTCAAATCTTCATGCGGGGCACCCCTACCTATTTTAGGGACTCAGGCGCCCCACATAAGACATACCTTACACTTAGCGGAATAGATCCCACAATCCCCTCAATAAAAGGGGATGTGGGTTGCCATGGAAAAAAAAAAAAAGAAAAAAAAAACCTTGATTAAACTATAATTTAGGGTATATCTGAATATCTACCCTCTTATTTTTTTTAACAGAGAGATGTTAATTAATGAGAGAAGTGGAAGTTACCGGTTTTTTGAGTCCCAACCAGATAAAGTAGCAACTTTTTCTAAAGCATCCCTCCATTCCTGCGTTTTGTCTTTGACAAATCTTTCTTCATGCCTTATGAAGGCTTCTGCAAAACTTCCGTTTTGTTTCCTAACATCAGAAGGATGTACACCGTAAAAAATCGGAAATACTTGAAGACTTGTCTCTTCCTTTAATTGCAGGATCTTTTGAAGCTCATCCAAACACCAAGTTGAAGAAGCATAATTTGGAGAAAGCACAATAATTGCAAAACGAGATTCTTCAATTGCTTCTACTAAACTTGGATTAATAGATTCTCCCCTTTCAAGTCCTTCCTCATCCCGAAAAGTTCTTAATCCTTCGTTTTTTAAAGCAGCATACAAATGATTAGTAAAATTTTTCCAGGTATCTTCCCCTCGAAAGCTCAAAAACACATCATACTTCCTTCTCTTAGTTGAACCAGAAGATCTTGAAGAACAGCCAACTCCATCAGCATCACGCGCCATCACAAGGATTTGGAATCTGAACCCAAGTATAAAAGTAAAAACACAAGAAACTGAAAGAATAATACATATATAAAGGCAAAAAAAAAGAAAAGAAAAGAAAGAAAGAATAATACATATATAATAGGAGCTTCAACAAAGAGTGCAGCAATCAGTCCAATGCGAAGCCTTGAGATAGGCATTGGGCATATTAAAACAAGATATAACAGAAACATCAACAGACAAGCTTCTTCTCACCGCAAGAGTCATCTACTCTTCACGAATAATTTGAAAGCAACATTTCACAGATCTAAACAGGTCATTTCGGTGATCATAATTGAAGAAAGGAGAAGGGGAGAAAGTAGAAACCTGAAAGAGGAAATAATATCAAAAGATTTGTTCGACTCCCACCGGCCTGATATAAGATGAGGCCCAGCAGCCTGGTATGATTTTATAGAATGAAAAATGGAGAAACAGTGAGAAGGAAAGTGGCGGTAATGAGCTCATGTCTTTGTCCTCTCTTCAGTCTTTGGGAGCTCAAATTTGAAACCGCGTTACGTACGAAAATACAGAGTGTTCCATTTTGCTGAAGGACAGAGCCATGGGTCCCTCTGTCAGTGCTTTATTGGGTTTTCCTTTTTACTTTTTTGTCACAAGACTTAATAGGAGCAAGGGAAAACCAAAGCATTTCCCTTTTAATTTCCACTGTACTTCCCAGATTCACATTCAAAGATAGAGAAACCTATCATGATTTTCAAGAGAGAGTGCAATTCTAAAAAGACTACTATAATTTTCAACACAAACATGATTGTTGTAAAAAATCATCATTTATGATTAATGATTATATGATTATAGAAATAAAAATATACCTTTTAAAGTTAAAAGATTAAATTAAAACTTTATATAAAGTTAAAGAATCAAATGTATACTATGTCACTAATTAATTAATGTCTTTATTTATTTGTTTACTTATTTATATTGGTAAATCATATATATCTTTAGCTTGCCGCTCATGCCACTTAATATTATCAGACATATGCAAAATAATGGAGAGGAATGTCAGGCATAAAAATGTTTACAAATGAGGGAGGATAACTGTTTATATGAATATGCAGACTAATTCGTGATACTTTGCTCATTTAAATCAGATTTATTTGTTCAGCTAGTTCTCTGAAGTATGAGAAGATCAATGCCAAATTTGGGCAAAGTATTAAAGGGTACTTTCACTAATCCTATACAAGAGAATTTTCATTAGGAAATCCATCAAATTGCATCCACCATGCGAAATCATTTTCTCTGATTAAGCGCGTGGCTATACCCGGTATCCGGAATGTCGTAGAAGCACTTTAAAAAAAGTGCTTTCACATAAATCAAAATTTTTCTCACATATTTATCTCAAATATCATAAAATTACTTTTGAAAAGCTAAACCAAACACCTCTGATCTACCAGCCTGTTACAAATTTTATAGAAAGAAAAATGGAGAAACAATGAGAACTAAAAATGGTGGGTGTGAGCCCAAGTCTTCTCTTTTCTTCAGTCTTTGCGCGTTCAAATTTCAAACCGTGTGACGGACGGAACTACTGTTTTCCATTTTAATTTGCTGAAGGACAGAACCGTGTGACCCTACGTCAGTGCTTTGTTAGATTCGATTTTACCTTTTGTAGGTATGTATGTGTGAGAGAACGACCAAAAGACTTTGGAAAGACTTGCTTTTATTTTATCATCGTGTTCTAGGCTGCACGACTTACAAGTCCCCTACTATATGTTGCTTCGTTTTGGAATCCAAGGGAAGAAGGCGAAGACCAGAACATTCCTCTCTTAATTTCCAATTTATTCCTCGGATTCACATTCAAAGAAAGAGCAACTAAGTGCAAGCTTAAAAAAAAAAAAAAATCCAATCCCGGCAAGTTAGCTAGTGAGGCGGGAGAACTCACAGACTCGTAACAATGTACCCTTTTTAAGAATCTAATTTCTAAATACTAGCTTTACAAGATAAGAAAACCTCTTGAACTTATAAACTGTTTTAAATATAAAAGTTAGTTGAGGATTCAATTTTATCCTAAATATAAGATTTTAATATACTTTTTCTTTTATATTTATCTTTCTTGCCCCCATTAAAGATATTTTGGAATAGTTTAAAGTTTCTTCTCATTCTCAAAGGGAAAAACCACCTACACGTTCCAAAGACTAGTTTGTCTGTCTTATTTCCTTACCCAAAAAGGGGGCCATAAGTTTGCAGCCTCACAAGGAAAATACAACCTCCGGTGTTTAATGTCGGGGCTGAAAACTAATTTACAAATACTGCTCTAATACTTTTACACACACCTATGCACAAAGCTTCCTGTAGCAATTATCAAGCTGACAAAGTTATGGGATGGTGGATATAACACCTTAACTTATAACCTCTTTATTTTCTTAGAAATAGAATTATTTTTAAAACCTGTGATAATTTCTTAAGTATTTATTTCTCATTTATTTCCAATTATTTGATGCCTCTTCGTATTTTAGATAATTCAATTTCAGTCATTATTGATAATTAGCCAAAACTCTGGGAATTTCATCAATTTGTTCTAGGGATATTTTTGTTATTTTTTTTACCTCATACGGGCCTCAAAATCTTATTTCTCATTTTTTTGGAATTTTTTGAAATATTCGAGCCCAAGCATCACTGCTCAATTTCTAACCCAAAACTTTTCAAATTTATATTTAGGTCCCTGTTTGGGTTTAACATCAGAAATCCTTCCACTGAGGTTCTTAGTACAATTTCTGGCTCTTAATCATCTCCAATTCCCATACTCAAGTTCTTGAGGCTTTATTGAAATCTCTAACTTGCTTGTCTCACGGTTTCAAAAAATTCTTATTTTGCGATTTGGTCCCTAGAAATCGTCTCATCATTCCAGGGAATTTCTAGAACTCCTGTCAATAGGGGTCTGGTAGCCTATCCATTTTAGACTAACTCTGATATTTCTAAGTCCAAAATTCAGGATGTTACAGTGACCACTTTAATTTGCTGGGTATGTAATTCTGATGAGCAATTATCAAGCTTTAGTATGTGATTATAATCAAGTTAAAACTTGAAGAAAAAATATGTCTATAAACAAATTCATAAAGAATGAGCAGGCACAAAGCAATTATAAAACAAGGTTTATGAGTAATTTAATTTAGAGTTAAAGTGCATCCAGCATACTAAAATATTTTTTTCAAGTGCACCCAGCATCTTGAATTATTTTGTAGTGCATCCAATATCTTAAAATATATTTTTCAGATGCGTTCAGCACTCCAAAATATTTTAAAAATTTTAAAATGATGAATGCACCACAAAATACTTTAATATACTGGATACACCCAAAAAACTATTTTTGAATGCTGAATGCAGGTTAATCTTTAATTTATTAACTACTTTTAATAGTTTTCTTAAGTCATGCAATTTGATTATTTAAATCTTATAATAAGGGAGTACTTTTTAGGAAAAACTAATTTGAAAGTCCTTACAATTTATCTCGTTTTTCAGTGTGGTCCTTATATTTTAGAAGCTTATAAATCACCATTTGCACCGTTAGTCCCTACAATCAAGATTCCTCCTCCTCCTCCTGTCACAGGTTACTGGAGTGTTAATATTAACTGGATAAGGAATATATGCCACATGAGAAATTATTTGCTGCTGCCATATTATTCTTTACCTCTTTTTTTTTCCCCTTGATGAACAAAAACGGGGCAAACAAAGTAACTATATACTTTTGCTTGTTTCCATTATACAAAGCCATTATTAAGCCCAAAAACTCCTCCAAGAAGGTATCACCCAACTCTCCTGAAAGACTGGAGGAGGGAAAGAGGTTGGGGAATTGAAGAGTTTGTTGCCACACTGCTTACTGAAGGAGAGAGGTTGAGGAATTCAAAATCATATTAAAACTACAAGTATTGTTGGATTAGTTTTCCCTATGAAACTTCTTTATGTTACTTCAAAATAGTGTACTGTATGGAGTGGTTGATACATTTTCAAAGTTGAATGTGCTAACTTCCAAGCATATCAAATTCACAGGCGGGGCTTAATTTGGGCAATATGGCTCCTTTGTTTTACTTAAGTTCATTTTGGTGCAGTAATATATTAAAACTTGGTCAAAATAGTTTAACTGTTAGACATGAAGAATAGCCTGATACCTTGTTCGGTTCGCTTCATCATTTTTTACGATTATAACACTGTGCCTCCCCTTTATTTCTGACGGCACTGGCAATATTACAAGAGTTTTGCACTTTCCCTTTCGTAACTTCTAAGCTCAAACATTGCAAAAAAATTACAGTGTTTTATGTGGATCACTAACTCTGGAGCATAGCATAAAAAATTTCAGGGACCTTAACCCATTGCATGATATTATTAATGAGCAGGGTTACAAGGAAAAGTACTTTAGGAGCTTAATTCCTCTTGGCCTAAAATATGCTGAGGTAACCACAAACATATTATTTTGCCACTTTAAAGTTATCAGGTGCACCTTTTGATCTGTTTAGCTTAGCAATTCTTCGACTTCTTTCTATAATGATCTGGGTTTCTTAACAGAACACAAATTTCTTGCAGCTTTTACCATGGGGAGGGGAGCTCACAAGCGATCGAGTCACATGGACCAAGTTTCCTTCAAGCCCGGAAAACTATGATATTCCGTATTCTGCATTCCAGGATTACTACAAGGTGTTAATACTGTGGTCTTTTCTTACTATGATATATCTGGAATATATGATGCTTTAAGGGTCAGAGTTTTAATTCCTTTTCAAAAATATTACCCTATAAAATACTCACTTTTCTATATGACCCTTAATTATCAGGCATGGCTGGAATTAATAGGCAAAGCAGTTAAGGAGACAGATGCATCTCAGATTTCATGCAATCGTGAAGCACGACATAGATGTCTAATGTGGAGCGCAGAGAAGTTACTTAGGCTATATCACTCACAGTCATATGATTGGTCATTTGACTATATTACTCTTTATACTTGACTTATTATTAGTTAAGGAAATTCTAACTTAGCATCT